GGTTTAGGTTGAAAAAAATACTTAGGACTGTGAGTATCGATGTAGGAATTTTATTTTAAAAATGAATATTTTAAGGATAAAATAGTAAAAATTTTGGTCAAACTTAAAGTGCTTATAAGCTAAAAATTCATAAGCTGGGGGTGACCAGCTTATGGCTTTTGGCTTATTTTTGACTTATAAGCACTTGTGTATTGGGGAAAACAAATATTACACGTGGAATTAATTATGTGGCTGACATGGCAAGACATGTGAATCATTAGAAAAGCGACAACTGGAGGAAACTACTTAAAGAGATACGAGTCTTAACAGGTACGAGCAAGCCGTCTAAAAGACAAGAAGAAACGGTCGCCCGAGTCTCTTCATAATTCGAAGAGATATCGACAGAATGAACCAAGACAGCAAAAATTACAGATTCGTTAGCCTTCAATTAATGAGCATACATTACAAGATCTTCATGAAACAGTTACGATTGCCAATTATAACATTTCATTAATATCATTAATTGCTCATTATGACATGATTGAAAGGGGGAAGAAACGTTGTACTTAGAAAAACTATATAAGGGAGAAAAAGAACATTTGTATGGACACACTGATTATTATTGGAATATACTTATTTACATTGCTTTATATTGCTTACTCGGCTACTGCTTAGTCTAATTTATTCCTTTCTCGTTATTCAATTATTTCTTTATTTGATTATCAGTAACCCGAGTTCTTTTAAAAATAAGCTTTGACCGAAATTCCTATTTTCTAGTTAAACAAATTGGTTCCGTTACCGGAAATCTGATAATCTTTTCACTTTCCAAATCCATTCTTCTGCCAAAAAATCATGTCGAACGCTAACGACAACAACCAACAAAACCTACAAAACCAACAAAATCAACAACAACAGTTGAATCAACAAAATCAACAAGGAGATGGAACTCCAATCTCCTCACCACGAAACTCTCCTCGACAGTCTCGAGAAAGGACACCTGACAGATCTGAATCATATATGAATGACCAGTGTGGAGACGATCAAGATATCGATGCAGCATTGAAACAATTAATTGCAGAACAGGTCAGCAATGCTCTTCAAGCTTTTGTTGGTTGCCAACCGTACCACCAATTCTACCTCCAAACAACACCACGACCATAGAGAATCCTCGCTTGGGACTCGTTAACTCAGGCAGCGGAGGAACACCCAGCGAATCTCGTGATGGAGGGTCAGGTAACCCAGTTAATTGTGATTTACAAAGTTTAGTACTAACTTTGCAGAAACAATTCAAGGAGCAAAGCGATCGCATAGAGCAGATACCTGCAGTACCGCCTGTAATCAAGGGAATAGATATGGAAAAATACTCTCAACAACCTTGGAAGCCAAGTGCCGCTCCTTTGTCAATTCCAAAAAAATTTAAGATGCCCGATATCCCGAAGTATGATGGAACAACTGATCCACGGGATCATGTAACTGCATTTACAACCGGCGTAAAGGGCAATGACTTGACCAAGCAAGAAATTGAATCAGTGTTGGTCAAAAAATTTGGAGAAAACTCACAAAAGGAGCGCTAACATGGTATTCTCTTTTACCTGAAAATTCTATTGATTCTTTTGCTGAGCTTGCAGATTCATTTATAAAAGAATACTCGGGAGCTCAAAAAGTTGAAAAAAGAATGGAGGACATTTTCAAAATAAAACAAGGAGATGCGGAGCTGCTCAGGGAGTTCGTAGACAGATTCCAACGTGAAAGGATGATGTTGCCTCGTGTACCCGATAACTGGGCGGTTATGGCTTTTGCCAGTAACCTGAATGAAAAAAGCTCGGAGGCCACGAGGAGACTCAAAGAAAGCTTACGAGAATTTCCTGCGACTACTTGGAATGATGTTTACAATAGATACAACACAAAGCTGTGGATAGAAGAAGATACCATTACTCAGTCTCAAAAAGATGAAAGAATAAGCTCAAGGTAGGCGGAAACTAAAAGAAGGTCCGGTAAAAACAGGTACGAACCTTATATGGGACCAACAGAAAGGGATTCACGTTCAAAACAGGAAAATCCACGGTATAACCCTAGATCAAGGGATAGAGAATCAGGTTGGTCGTCAAGGTACGGGAAGGATCGAAACACGCGAGACACCCGGGATGACGACAGAGGTTTGAAAGCAAAAATTGGTGGTTATAGTTTTAATGTTAGCACATCTGAGTTGGTGGCTGTTTTAAGAGGCATGGGAGATAAGGTACAATGGCCAAAAGAAATGAGATCGAACCCAAACAGGAGAAATCCCGACTTTTTGTGCGAGTTTCACAACGATCACGGTCAAAAAATGGCATATTGCAGATTGTTACAAGGTGAAGTAG